CTGATCCCTGCCCAGAAAACAGTCTGACTCAGCTACATCATCAGACTCTCCCACTATGTATAGACACTAGACACTCTAAACCCTGACCAGACACCAGTCTGACTCAGCTACAACATCAGACTCTCCTCACTACCTATAGACACTAGACACTCTAAAACCCTGACCAGACACCAGTCTGACTCAGCTACATCATCAGACTCTCCCACTATGTATAGACGCTAGACACTCTAAACCCTGACCAGACACCAGTCTGACTCAGCTACATCATCAGACTCTCCTCACTACCTATAGACACTAGACACTCTAAACCCTGACCAGACACCAGTCTGGCTCAGCTACAACATCAGACTCTCCCACTATGTATAGACACTAGACACTCTAAACCCTGACCAGACACCAGTCTGATTCCGCTACATCATCAGACTCTCCTCACTACCTATAGACACTAGACACTCTAAACCCTGACCAGACACCAGTCTGACTCAGCTACATCATCAGACTCTCCTCACTACCTATAGACACTAGACACTCTAAACCCTGACCAGACACCAGTCTGGCTCAGCTACAACATCAGACTCTCCCACTATGTATAGACACTAGACACTCTAAACCCTGACCAGACACCAGTCTGATTCCACTACATCATCAGACTCTCCTCACTACCTATAGACACTAGACACTCTAAACCCTGACCAGACACCAGTCTGGCTCAGCTACAACATCAGACTCTCCCACTATGTATAGACACTAGACACTCTAAAACCCTGACCAGACACCAGTCTGACTCCGCTACATCATCAGACTCTCCTCACTGCACTTAAGCAGCTTTCTCTCTTAAACAGCTAGAAAAAAAGTCACATGAACAGGCTGTTACTATTTCACACTAGACAGAAACAATATATCAACCTGATGGACCCGTTAGGACCCATTACAACACCTAAAGTTCCTTTCCTCGATTCTTTAATGACAAATTGACAAATAAATAGTGATCACGCCTCTGAACTTGTGTAAGCACAACCAACATATAACCACTGTTGCATTAGGTCTCCTTCCCCTATCCCCTTCCCATCTTTACATCAAGGTGGACAAAACTGAGAAACATTTACATGGAGTTCTTAGGAAAAAATAACATAGCACCTGTTAAATTATTTTTTTTTTATCTTTCATCAAATAATCTCTCTGTTTTTCATAAGAGACATTATAAGTGGGAATTTTGTAAATTAGAGTTACTTCCCTTGTCGATGAAAATATTATATTCATCTTTATTTTTAAGAGAAGTTACAGTACCAGTCTGGATTTCCCACCCATTTTTTCTTTAAAGTTCTCCCTTGCTTACATATGAAGATAATGTGTTATGCTTTTGTAAAGGATTATTGTTGAAGATTTTGTATATTCGACAACATATACTGAGAGGAAAAAAAAACCGCAATTAGGAATTTCAAGGTCAACTACGGGAAAATGGGTTTTAGAATATAATTATGGTGTAACTGGAAGATAGTTGACCACTCTGTCATCTAAGAGAATTTCATTTGTGTACGTTAAGTAAACCTTTCAAATTTGAGCTGCAGTTACTGCACGAACCCTTTTGTGCATTGAATTGATATTGACCCTCCTCGTTGGTATACGATTCCATTCCTCATCCAGCGCCAACACCAACTGAGCGACGTTGATTGGAGGATTCGGTTTACGTCTTATCCTTCTGTCCAACTCGTCCCATAAATGTTCTATTGGGGAGAGGTCAGGGCTCTATGGGGGCCAGTCTAGGGTGGGGACATTGTTTGCTGCGAGATAACCACAACAAACCCTCGCTACTATGCCCAATCCCTCCCCTTACCATGACCGATCCTCCTCTAAAGCAGTTATTCTCTATCACGCAAGCATCTGCATAGTGCTCGTGGGTACGTCTATAGACACGTCGGTCGTCAGCCCGGTAAAGCGAAAACCTGACTCATCTGAGAACAGGACCCTTCTCCAACATTGCACTGGGAAGCGTCTTACAGAATGTGCGTTCAGTCATTGCATTCGTCTGGCACGTCGCCTCGCATTAAGCTGTGGTTGAACATATGGCCGCAGCAATCTTAGACCGAAGGCACACAGGCAAGTACGCACTGTCTTTGGATCAATTGGAACATGATGACACCCAATTGTGTTCCTTGCTGTTTCCGTGCGATTGTGTAGGTGCGAAAGTCTCATTGCCCTATCATGCTGATGCATCGTCACATGAGGGCAACCGCTTCGGGGACAGTCTGCAATCCTTCCGGTAGCATGTAGTCTTTGGATGAGACGGCAAATGTTCGATGGATGGACTCTAAATTGATTAGCGACCTGATTTTGCGGGGTACCTTGCATAAGAAGTGCAATGGCACGAGCCCCGTCAACTTCGGACAGTCGTGGCATTTTTTACTGTGAATTGTTTATGTTTAAAATGTGGGAAATCAAGATGGATATGTCTGAAGATTCGCACACACAGATTTTGAACCAATCCTTTATACTGGGTTCGAGATATCATGCTTTTGTCTCTTATTCTTTTGTACAAGAAGTGTGTGCATTTTAGTTATGCATCGGTGATTTTAATACGGTACCATAGGGACCTAACTCAAATGCACACATTTGTCAAGTTTCAAGGGTGTATATCAAGGATTTAATTTACAATATTAACTTTCTGCTAATTGCGTTTCTTTTTCCTCTCAGTATATTTCCAATTACATTGCAAAGTATCTAATTAAAGTTTGCCTACCCCAATATTTTTGTTACAACTATTTCTTGTGATGACTAGGCTTGCACAATAAGAGTATACATTCTTGTCATTACTTGTACTGGGCATTAATGTACAATATTTGGCCCCATAAACATGAACAAATTGAAATCAAATCATATTAATCCTATTTGATAATCAACAGCCTCTTGGCATCGGTGATCTAATACTTCATGTAAAAGACTTGCTGGAAAACCTTAATATCAATCTCATTAAGTTTGATATAGAAATGAACTTCTGCTCTGCCTCATAAATATGATGGATGTGGTTCTTCTTATTGATAAAAATTGTAATCAATAACAAATTATTTGATTATCAACACTCCCTTAACATTTAAGTGATCCAATACTACTTGAAAAACTTGCAGGACAATTTAATTTAAGACTTGTTCACAAAATTCACAAATAGAAAGTTACCGCTTTTGGGCCCTATAGAAATGAAAAATATGGTTTGACATATAATGATTTATATAAATGCTTTAATCTTCTAACAATCAACACTTTCTGATAATGATGATCCAGTATAATACTGCTAGGAAAATCTTCCAACATTTTAAGAGGCTGCTGCTGACACCAGGGTGACTATGTTTGTGCCCCCCTCCCCATTTCCCTACTCCCCCCGCCATTCTCTGAATAGACAAGCTAAAATATGACCCAAAATTACAACCACAGAAAGTGTCTACAGACATGAATGTTCTTGGTTTCATGCATATTAGTACTTCTGTGTAATAAACTTCTATTAATAGCATGACCTTGATCTTTGAATCCTGAGATATTCTCATAAAACAGTTTGATTAAAATCTCTTTAGAAATTAAGTTCCTAGTTAAGGATGTCCCAGAACTGGTTAAAAGTTTTTTTCGAAAAAAAATTTATTAGTACACCTCGACCTTCACCATAGAACCTCGTAAAACATACTCATTCAAAGTTATTAGTGGAAATGAACTCTAGATATAGTCTTACCAAATTGCTTTAAGAACTGAAGTCCTATAGAGTGAAGTCATTGAATAGACTGATGCAATGGTTTTCTATCAATGCGTGTATGAATGAGGAAATAAGTTTGAGGTAGGACACCGTCCAATGGGCAGTACAGGACATGGTAAAATGGGCTGTAAAGGACACGGTACAATGGGCTGTAAAGGACATGGTAAAATGGGCTGTAAAGGACACGGTAAAATGGGCTGTAAAGGACACGATACAATGGGCTGTAAAGGACACGGTAAAATGGGCTGTAAAGGACACGGTAAAATGGGCTGTAAAGGACATGGTACAATGGGCTGTAAAGGACATGGTAAAATGGGCTGTAAAGGACATGGTACAATGGGCTGTAAAGGACATGGTACAATGGGCTGTAAAGGACACGGTACAATGGGCTGTAAAGGACACGGTACAATGGGCTTTAAAGGACATGGTACAATGGGCTGTAAAGGACATGGTACAATGGGCTGTAACAGGACACAATGTCATGTATAAGGGTATCACTAAATTCAACCTTACCAAAAAATAGCGAGGACATGAAGATATAAATATTTCAGTACACAGTGATGAAAATCTACACATAAGTGTAAATACATTGCTATTGTCATGCCTGTCAATGAAATAAAATTCTCACACTATTTACTTACATATCTTTGATGGCCTAGCTGAGATAATCTTTGTCAGCGTAGACATCTACCCATCAGCTTTTTAACTTATACGAGTGAGAGGGTGTAATCCCACCATGTGTTTTTGTCAGCAGGTTTATCATAACACCTGAGATATTCTAATTTATAGGTATTGATATTTGTCCCTGATTCAGACTTATACTCGGTGTGAGATAAGAATTCTATGCACATGGAATGCATTTTCAATTATATCACGTAGGGTAGGTAAGAATATAAGGTCAGAGGTCATTGTCGATGTCAATAGGTGAAAATTGAATGATTTTCCATGAAAATATCAATAGCGCGATGTAGAAGTAAATCCTGTGTATTTTTGATACAATGATATCTAATAAAGATCATCAGAAATGAATCCCCTGTCTGCCAGCAGCTTATAAATGTTTAATTAATGAGATAATAAACCTCAGTCACAGCTAATTTGTAATAATATGACACAGTGGAATAATACCCTGGACTACTAACAATTAGTAATCTGACAAGCCACCACCCAACTGTAAGGTCATAAACCCATCAGCTAAACTGCTAAGATAATTAGTCGTTTTCATTTAATCCTTGTCAATATGAAGGTATTTCAGCCAATTTCACTTTCAGGAAAATGTGACAACTATTTCACTGATAGGATTTGGTGTAACTATTTCACTGTTGGGGTTTGGTGTGACTTTTTCATTGTTGGGGTCTGGTGTAACTATTTCACTGTTGAGGTTTGGTGCAACTATTTCACTGTTGGGGACTGGTGTAACTATTTCACTGTTGGGTTTTGGTGTAACTATTTCACTGTTGGGGTTTGGTGTAACTATTTCACTGTTAGGGTTTGTTGTAACTATTTCACTGTTCGGGTTTGATGTAACTATTTCACTGTTGGGGACTGGTGTAACTATTTCACTGTTGGGTTTTGGTGTAACTATTTCACTGTAGGGGTTTGGTGTAACTATTTCACTGTTCGGGTTTGATGTAACTATTTCACTGTTGGGGTTTGGTGTAACTATTTCACTGTTGGGTTTTGGTGTAACTATTTCACTGTTGAGGTTTGGTGTAACTATTTCACTGTTGGGTTTTGGTGTAACTATTTCACTGTTGGGGACTGGTGTAACTATTTCACTGTTGGGGTTTGGTGTAACTATTTCACTGTTGGGGTTTGTTGTAACTATTTCACTGTTCGGGTTTGATGTAACTAATTCACTGTTGGGGACTGGTGTAACTATTTCACTGTTGGGTTTTGGTGTAACTATTTCACTGTAGGGGTTTGGTGTAACTATTTCACTGTTGGGGTTTGGTGTAACCATTTCACTGTTTGGGTTTGGTGTAACTATTTGGTACAGTAAAAAAAATCCATCATCAGTATGAGGTCCCACACCATGACTGATAAACAATAGAATTATAGCGTACACTAGTAAGGTTTGATGTAACTATTTCACTGTTGGGGTCCCACACCATGACTGATAAACAATAGAATTATAGCGTACACTAGTAAGGTCCCACACCATGACTGATAAACAATAGAATTATAGCGTACACTAGTAAGGTCCCACACAGTGACTGATAAACAATAGAATTATAGCGATAAACAATAGAATTATAGCGTACACTAGTATGAGGTCCCACACAGTGACTGATAAACAATAGAATTATAATGTACACTAGTATAAGGTCCCACACAGTGACTGATATACAGGATTATATGAGTATGAAGTGGGAGTACCTACACCTGTTACCAGCATATTCTCCTCACATCAGATCACTAGGTGGAGTTTTCAGAAATTTTCTGTTAAACAATCGTGTAAAATGTCAGAAATAATCTGATGCAAGCGTGACAAGATGTACAACACAAAAATTCATTAAAGTTTTGATATGAACAGAATTCCTAAGCAGGATTAATTTTGTTTTTGCAAAATTCATCATTTCTTAATTGTATAAGAAGAACATGCCTTATCGATAGTTTTACTGGTATCTGCTTTGAGTATACATGAAACAACTCTACCATTAACCTCTGGACTGATCATATTCAGGATTGTCTTCATCTCAGTCAACACGTTTCTAAGTACTGGCTACACCTTAAGATGATAACATTGAGTGATTAAACTTATAGGATGATGATCCTGATCTTAAACTGTGAAACTTAGATGATTGCATAAATCCACCATTCTCCCTCCCTTAACCTTAACTCCTGATAAGTCTCCCTCCCTTCACCTTAACACCTGTTAAGTCTCCCTCCCTTCACCTTAACACCTGATAAGTCTCCCTCCCTTTACCTTAACACCTGATAAGTCTCCCTCCCTTCACCTTAACACCTTATAAGTCTCCCTCCCTTCACCTTAACACCTGATAAGTCTCCCTCCCTTCACCTTAACACCTGATAAGTCCCCCTCCCTTCACCTTAACACCTGATAAGTCTCCCTCCCTTCACCTTAACACCTGATAAGTCTCCCTCCCTTCACCTTAACTCCTGATAAGTCTCCATCCCTTCACCTTAACACCTGATAAGTCTCCCTCCCTTCACCTTAACACCTGATAAGTCTCCCTCCCTTCACCTTAACACCTGTTAAGTCTCCCTCCCTTCACCTTAACACCTGATAAGTCTCCCTCCCTTCACCTTAACACCTGATAAGTCTCCATCCCTTCACCTTAACACCTGATAAGTCTCCCTCCCTTCACCTTAACACCTGATAAGTCTCCCTCCCTTCACCTTAACACCTGTTAAGTCTCCCTCCCTTCACCTTAACACCTGATAAGTCTCCCTCCCTTAACCTTAACACCTGATAAGTCTCCCTCCCTTCACCTTAACACCTGATAAGTCTCCCTCCCTTCACCTTAACACCTGTTAAGTCTCCCTCCCTTCACCTTAACACCTTATGATAACACCTGATAAGTCTCCCTCCCTTCACCTTAACACCTGATAAGTCGCCCTCCCTTCACCTTAACACCTGATAAGTCTCCCTCCCTTCACCTTAACACCTGATAAGTCTCCCTCCCTTCACCTTAACACCTGATAAGTCTCCCTCCCTTCACCTTAACACCTGATAAGTCTCCCTCCCTTCACCTTAACACCTGATAAGTCTCCCTCCCTTCACCTTAACACCTGATAAGTCTCCCTCCCTTCACCTTAACACCTGATAAGTCTCCCTCCCTTCACCTTAACACCTGATAAGTCTCCCTCCCTTCACCTTAACACCTGATAAGTCTCCCTCCCTTCACCTTAACACCTGATAAGTCTCCCTCCCTTCACCTTAACACCTGATAAGTCTCCCTCCCTTCACCTTAACACCTGATAAGTCTCCCTCCCTTCACCTTAACACCTGATAAGTCTCCCTCCCTTCACCTTAACACCTGATAAGTCTCCCTCCCTTCACCTTAACACCTGATAAGTCTCCCTCCCTTCACCTTAACACCTGTTAAGTCTCCCTCCCTTCACCTTAACACCTGATAAGTCTCCCTCCCTTCACCTTAACACCTGATAAGTCTCCCTCCCTTCACCTAACACCTGATAAGTCTCCCTCCCTTCACCTTAACACCTGTTAAGTCTCCCTCCCTTCACCTTAACACCTGATAAGTCTCCCTCCCTTCACCTTAACACCTGATAAGTCTCCCTCCCTTCACCTTAACACCTGATAAGTCTCCCTCCCTTCACCTTAACACCTGATAAGTCTCCCTCCCTTCACCTTAACACCTGTTAAGTCTCCCTCCCTTCACCTTAACACCTGATAAGTCTCCCTCCCTTCACCTTAACACCTGTTAAGTCTCCCTCCCTTCACCTAACACCTGATAAGTCTCCCTCCCTTCACCTTAACACCTGTTAAGTCTCCCTCCCTTCACCTTAACACCTGATAAGTCTCCCTCCCTTCACCTAACACCTGATAAGTCTCCCTCCCTTAACCTTAACTCCTGATAAGTCTCCCTCCCTTAACCTTAACACCTGATAAGTCTCCCTCCCTTAACCTTAACACCTGATAAGTCTCCCTCCCTTAACCTTAACACCTGATAAGTCTCCCTCCCTTAACCTTAACACCTGATAAGTCTCCCTCCCTTAACCTTAACTCCTGATAAGTCTCCCTCCCTTCACCTTAACACCTGTTAAGTCTCCCTCCCTTAACCTTAACACCTGATAAGTCTCCCTCCCTTCACCTAACACCTGTTAAGTCTCCCTCCCTTAACCTTAACTCCTGATAAGTCTCCCTCCCTTAACCTTAACACCTGATAAGTCTCCCTCCCTTAAACTTAACTCCTGATAAGTCTCCCTCCCTTAACCTTAACACCTGATAAGTCTCCCTCCCTTCACCTTAACACCTGATAAGTCTCACTCCCTTCACCTTAACACCTGATAAGTCTCCCTCCCTTCACCTTAACACCTTATAAGTCTCCCTCCCTTAACCTTAACACCTGATAAGTCTCCCTCCCTTAACCTTAACACCTGATAAGTCTCCCTCCCTTAACCTTAACTCCTGATGTCTCCCTCCCTTAACCTTAACACCTGATAAGTCTCCCTCCCTTCACCTTAACACCTGATAAGTCCCCCTCCCTTAACCTTAACACCTGATAAGTCTCCCTCCCTTCACCTTAACACCTGATAAGTCTCCCTCCCTTCACCTTAACACCTGATAAGTCTCCCTCCCTTCACCTTAACACCTGATAAGTCCCCCTTTACCTTAACACCTGATAAGTCTCCTTTCCTTCACCTTAACACCTGGTAAGTCTCCTTTCCTTCACCTTAACACCTGATAAGTCCCCTTATATCACGTTAGAATCAACCTCACTTCAGACCTTCTAGTAATATGTATCTGAAATCTGTCAGGCTTGAGATAGAAAAACAGGAAAACAATTACAAAGATTAACATAAAATTAGTGTGAACTACAAGTAAATAGTGCTTAGTATGTTCTGCTGCTGTATTTCTGTGCTACTCGGGAGACACTGGTTGACTGGTATACCACATCCATTTGTCTCATTCAGAATTCTATTCACAGACTGGGGTCATTATGTACAGTTACAACCCTGGGAATGTCACACCACAATGGAAATCCTCCCAGTCAATAGCTTTAGGTTATTTCTTTGGTTAAGAAAATAAGTGTATATTATCTTATTATTTGAGGAAATATGTTTAAGAAGTCATATTCAGATTTTAGGCCTCCCATATAAACAGGAACACTTGATAAAACTTATCTGTAAATATCTCATGTCACAGTGACCCTACAATGAGGTCAAACTCCTATCTAAACCAACTGTCATCTAGCTCTGGTTTTATCTTCCTGCATCAGCCAGCACCTCATATAACATACCTCTGGATCATCTCACATTAACCACTGCATGGTAACATCTCACAGTCCTGGTTTTATCTCACATTAACCACTATGTGGTATCATCTCACAGTCCAGGTTTTATCTCACATTAATCACTGTGTATTATCATCTCACAGTCCAGGTTTTATCTCACATTAACCACTGCATGGTAACATCTCACAGTCCCGGTTTTATCTCACATTAACCACTGTGTGGTAACATCTCACAGTCCTGGTTTTATCTCACATTAACCACTCACAGTCCAGGTTTTATCTCACATTAATCACTGTGTATTATCATCTCACAGTCCTGGTTTTATCTCACATTAACCACTGTGTATTATCACCTCACAGTCCTGGTTTTATCTCACATTAACCACTGTGTGGTATCATCTCACAGTCCTGGTTTTATCTCACATTAACCACTGTGTGGTATCATCTCACAGTCCTGGTTTTATCTCACATTAACCACTGTGTGGCATCATCTCACAGTCCTGGTTTTATCTCACATTAACCACTGTGTGGTATCATCTCACAGTCCTGGTTTTATCTCACATTAACCACTGCATGATTTCATCTCACAATCCTGTTTCAGCTCATAACCCCTGAATTCATCTTACATCCCCTGGGTTGAGTCTCATCATCTTTGATCTAATGGATGTGAACTTTGACCTAAGGTATAACAAGATGATTTTTCAGTTATCAAGAGATCCAAGAGAGATGTTGTTGCCTATCATTGACCTTTATGTTTTTCTTTAAAAGTTTAATCTTTTCCCTTCTTTCCTCTGTTAATGCTTTTAATTATATGAAATTTGAAAAATTACTCTTTAGAAAAAGTGATACTAATCTTTCAATGCAAAATCCAAAATGGTTGCCTGTCTGCCATTTTTTTTTTTTTTCTGACCAGTTCAAAAATTCAAATGGGGCTAGGGACCATGGGAAACATACACTTGAAATTAGTACTTTTCAAAAAGTTGCAATAACACACTTTGATAGTAAAAATCTAAGATGGCATC